AAAAGGAGCCATACTAGAAGTAGTTGCCTCTAAAGATCTTTGGATCTAGCATGCATTTTTTGGGATGCCAGGCTCTCATAATGATATCAATGTTCTTTGAAGATCTCCTATATTTGCAAGGCTTATTGAAGGTGACGGTCCACATGTTAATTATAGCATCAATGGGAACGACTATACAATGAGTTATTATCTCGCAGATGGCATATATCCATCTTGGGCCACGTTCATGAAAACCATACCAGAGCCACGAGTCAACAAATATTTTGCCAAGGCACAAGAAGCTTGTAGGAAGGATGTCGAACGAGTATTTGGGGTTCTACAAGCTCGCTTTGCTATCGTTCGAGAGCCAGCTCATGTGTGGGATGAAAAACGCTTGGAGCAACAATCATGAATGCTTGTGTCATTATGCACAATATGATTGTCGAGGATGAGGGCATTGACGAAGATGATTTCAAATATGATGACATGGGAGAAAAAAGGTGAAAATATCCCATGATGGTACACCTGAATTAGATGAATTCATTCAAAATTATAAGAACATTCAGGACAAGGAAACTTACACACAGCTTCAAGCCGATCTTGTTGAGCACCTGTGGCAAAATCATCAAGATTTATATAAGAATATTATTGTTGAATGATTTTATTCATTGTTAGGATATAATTGTTACTCCCTCCATCCCTCAATAGAGGACGTTCTGGGATTGAACACAGAGCCCAAAGCAAGAGCTAAAAGACCACAACACCCCTATAATGTAATCATTGCTCATGGTGTCAGATTGAAAGACACGCACCACTTTTGCATTAAAAAAAATAGTACAGCCAAAGCTAAAGCCATGCACCGGCATTTTTTAACCTTACACAAAAGGCACTGCACATTCGGCAAACACACTTAGCGCCAAAAATTACAGTTCGCGCTTTTTTACAGAGACACGAAAATAAAAATTTAAACAACGTGCCAATAAAGCTAGCTAACTTATCTTGCCTTGACTGTTTCATTTCAAACATTCACCGGTCGTTCACATGGCCAAGTCCCTAGTGGATTTGAACGCACCACCAGAGGACGGAGGAGAGAAGTTGCCTGATCTCAACAGCGATCCCTTCCAAGATGTAGCAGGTCAAACTAGTGAACAAGCATTTTATAAAGGTTAGCACATCCATCTCTCTCTATCTCTCTCTGTCCCTCTCTGTCCCCCCTCTCCCTCTCTGTCCCCCCTTCTCCCTCTCTATCTCTCCCCCCATCTCCCCCTCTCTCCTAAGATCAGTTTGTACTCGTTTAATTTCTCCTAGAATAAGTGTGTACTTTCTCCTAAAACTTGTTACTGTAGAAGGTCAGAACCTTGGACATCCATTTGATCTGAGTGATCATCAACATGAAAGAGACTAAGGAAACCTGCTGACAGATGAGTATTTCCATTAGTACCACAAAAATCTGCATGATAAAAGTGTCATCATCTATGTACTGACAATACATACAAACATTGCAAATTTTGGCGCAGGCAATGACAAAGCTTCACAACATGAACAAGATGCCTTACCTGCCCTCTTTGATGATGCAGCAGTTCACAATGTTTGCCATCCCTTTGATTTGAATCATCCTCAACAGGACAGTGAACAAGAAAACCTGCTGACAGGTGATTATTTCCAATCAGTGACTCAAGCATAGACCTATGTTTGCTGAAAAAACAGATTTAATGCATTTGTGCACATCCTAGGCAAAATTATTTTTTGTCAATCAACTTGAGCACTGAAAGTAGAACTACCAGCAGAGATTGCCAACATTACAAAATAATTAATTGTGTGCATATCCGTAGCATGTGTGAGCCCAAAAAAATTCAGTAGTGCAGCACATTTATTAGCTCCAAGTCCAAAATAATCTGTATTGATCAGTTATATTTTTCTGTAGACGATGGCATAGCCTTGCATGTCGAACAAGATGCCTTGGAGGATCTCATAGAGGAGTTTGGCGTGTACACCGAAAGAGTTGACATTGCCTTTGATCAAGAGGAGTTGTCGGACTCAGATGGTGAAGAGGATCAGCAAACACATGATGAGCAAGAGAATGCCCAAGCACATGATGATGAAGAGGATGAGCAAGCACATGATGATGTAGATGATGACCAAGGACATCATGATCAGTCCCAACATAGGACGAAGGAGTTAACAGATAGACAAAGACAAGACATATTTGAAGATTTGCTTTGGAGCAGTAAGAATGGAAAATTAAAAAGAAACAGTACAACTATTATTGCAGCAAAGTACAATGTCCGTATACGTACCATACAACGTGTATGGAAGAGAGCAAAAAAGTGTTGGGCACAGGGCATACCAGTAGATGTCAATGGTTTGAAACCTAAGAACTGCGATCGTAAAAAAATTCAAGTGGACCTATCTACAGTTCCAGATATTCCCCTAAACAGAAGGGGTACTATACGATCACTTGCAAATGCTCTAGGTGTCAATAAAAGCAGTCTGCATAGGTCGTTCAAACAAGGATTGCTACGACGACACTCCAACTCACTGAAGCCCTATTTGAAGGAAGCAAATAAAAAGTCTAGGCTACAGTGGTGTGTCTCTATGCTAGAACCAAGTACACTGCCAAATAATCCCAAGTTCAAAGAAATGAAAAATATTCCTCACGCTACAAGGATGCATGATTGAAGTTATGAAAGATAATGGAGGGAATAGGTACAAGATTCCCCACATGAATAAGGAGAGGCTGGAGGCAGCAATCATGCTTCCCAAATCTCTTAGTTGTGACAGGGAGATAGTTCAGAAGGCAATTGAGTTGTTGAACAACTAATGGAATTATTTGTTTAGCTTTTGAGATTTGCATCAACTAAGGGATATGTTTATGTAGCAGTTGTATATATGTATATACGTTTATTTTCTTGTAATCATAGTGGAGGCGAAGGAAAGCCTTTTGGTGGTGCATGTATAAAAACTAGTTTGGATTCTCTAAATTCCTACTTACTTAATCGTGTCCTTATATGCTCAAATACATATCCAGAAAACAATCTGAATACCCGGTTAATATGACACTATGCTGATAGGCTGTTGGGTTGATAAGCAATGTTGGTAACCAAAAACTAATTTCAATATTGAGCTAGTTAACTGACTAACATAATTCATACCCAAAAGCTAACTTCGATTAGCTAGTTGAAATCTGACCACACTACATATCATAGTCAGTGAGACACACAAAAGCAGCACTTCATCATCACAGATACTACGCACACATCACATGAACTAGCTAGTACGGGATGTAGAAGGAAGTGAAGGCAACCTTGATCATGCTGACAAAGACTTCCCAGTTGGCCTCTTCGATGCCAGTAAGCCAAAGCTCCATGCACTGAACCATCTCTTCGGTTAGTACGTCGTCGGCAACCGTGGTAGCTTTGATTGTGCCCACCTCCAAGGGCACCTCGCCAGTTGCAGCAACTCGACGGCCACGGGCACATCGACCTTGGCGGAGCTTTGGACGGCAGCTCTCCTCCAAGGCACTATCTTCAGCCTCTGAGTTGAGAACGTACAACTGTCCCTCGCAGTCCACACGCAGCCGACCACGTCTGTTGCGGCGCCCGCGCACGTTGCTCCCGTCTCCGACCTGTTCGATCCCATCGCCACGGCCCATCTCGACGATGTGCTTCGGGCTCCCATTGCGGCCGCAGCTCCCCAAGTTGAGAGCGCAGGTGCCATCACTGCAGCCCTCCACCGCCACAATGCGCTTCAGGATGTGATCTCTACCGCAGCTCCCCAATACGAGCTTCAGGCCACAGCTGCCACTGACCCCCACCTCCATGACGTGCTTCGGGCTCCCATCGTAGTCGCAGGTACCCATTTTGGGACCGCAGCTGCCGCCGTTGCCTCCATCTCCAACCTCAACGGCACACTTTCGGCTAACATCATGGCTGCCGCTCCCTAGCTTGGGGGAGCATGTCCCATCGCCACCGCTGCCCCCCAGTTTCAGGGCATGCTTGGAGGCCACATCGCTGTCGCGGACCGCTGGCTTGACAATGGGCTCGGGGTTCCCATCGCTTTCGCTGCTGCTGCCTCTCAGCTTTGCACCACGTTGCTTCGGCCAGGTACGGTGGTGGATCTAGGCCAGGCGGTTGGGTTTAGGGCGGCGCCGCCCAGCGCCAGCCATGCCCGATGGGGAGGAGATGGAAGACGGGGATGCGGCACTAGATGCAGAGGAGATGGAAGACGGGGAGATGGGGAGGCAGAGGAGATGGGGATGCGGCACTGGGATGCGGAGGAGATGGAAGATGGGGAGATGGGGAGGCGGAGGAGATGGGGATGCGGCACTGGGATGCGGAGGAGACGGGGATGGGAGCCGACGGAGATGGAGAGGTGGATGCGGATGGGTGTGCTTCCTCCATCCATGACCGAGAGGATAAGCCTCTGGAGATATTTTTTCCTTCCCACTGGCTGTTTCCTTTTTTTACTTTTTTATTCGTGGAGTGGGAGACAGGAACGTGATGGATGGATGGTTGCAGTACTCAGTATAGGGTAGTAGGAGCTAAAACGACATTTGTTCTAATACTCCTTTTGAATGCTTGGTCATCCTCTATTGAGGGACGGAGGGAGTAGATGATTTTATTCACTTTTAGAATATATTATCTTATATTCATGTAGATTTTATTTGCTAGTAGAAACATTTGTATTTTCATTGAGTTAGAGCTTCTCATGGCCCAAGCTTTTCATGGTGCAACCAGTTAGAGTGTTGAACTCCAGGGGTCGTTGAAACCCCTGGCCGGCCTGGGTTCGAAGCGTGGCGTGATTTCTATTTTCATTCAGTTATTAAACAAACTGTGCACAAGGCCATGTCTCAAACTGAGAACTTTCAGTCATGCAATATATTAAAATGTGACAAGAACAGGGATGAAATATTCACACTTGTGGCAATCTGAGAACAAGTACTGCAAATGTGGCAATATGAGAACAACTACTTAAAATAAATAGATTCCAAGGGTAGCTACAAAATAAAGACATTGACACATCTAATTATTTAGGCGTCTTGCAAGTATGTCATTCTTGAGCCCTTCATAGTACTGATGCTGGTCTGGGCACATGTGACTTGTGTCGACATTCATAATTCTCTCTTCTTCCAGTTTTTTGTTGAACTCAAATTGGCCCCTTTGTAACTCAAGTTTTTCTTTCTCCAGTCTGATCCTTTCTTCCTGCAATGCGAAGGCTTTCTTGCACCTCTCCTCTTTCTTCAACTCCTTCTCTGCATCGGCTTCTTTCTGTTTTGCCAAAAGATAATCCAATACTTCGATGCTAGAATGTTGCCGTAATTTCTGCTTCTTCTGCCCTGGAGGTCTCTGAAGTGCACTATTTGAATGCTGTATCTAAGGGTGGCGTCCTTCGGGTAGATTCATCAAGTTACCAATCTTACTGATGTTTTCATTGTTATTAGTTTGCAGCAACATCAATCTGCCCGGTCAAGATCGATTTAGATCAGCCTTATATCCTTTCAGTCCGTCGTTCGCTTTATTACAACACGATGTTTCTTACTCTGAACGACGGGTTACGTTTCATCGGCCATTCTACTTCGATCTTGATCATGCATAGTACGTGGTTAAGGCATGTATAATCTTAAAGAGATTTGCTAGCTAGTTAAATATAGTTTATAGTTCGCCATTATGGCTGGAATGATCCGGTCGATCCCCACTGATGGCACTATAGATGGGAGGATGCTAGTTAGTAGATTTGTTCTTGATTAGGCGTGACCTTAGCTGTTTGCTATGCCTGCATCGGCTAAATAGCCGATCACCTGTGCGTTAACGCCTACAGTGTGTGTCCATGATTCTGTTATGCGTGAATAGATCTGTGTACTTTAAGGGTTTAATTCGTTGTCTTTTTCACGGCTGCATCGATCCGGTCGAACCCCACTGTTAGAGATAGCAGGTTAAGCCTGATGAGTCCATATGTTTGTTCATGTGAAATAGTCGATTGTTCACATGCTATAGTCCCTTTTCACCTGAATCGGCTATTTCGGCCGATTTGCCTGAGTCTTCATGTATAGCATGTCTTTCGGAAAGCCTGTCAAAGTATAGATGATTCTACGGATTCTAAGGTTTTAGTTTGTTATTATCATCATAGCTGCCATCGATCCAGTCGAACCTCACTGTTGATGGTAACAAATTAGATTCAGAGCGTTTGTAGATCCATTGGTATTAGACAGTCGATTTGTTGGCATGCTATATCTTTTCCTGATTAGATTCATCGGCTCAACGATTCATACTGGAAATATCCACCTAGCTGATGATCTCATTTACGTCTGTGGGCATTATACTTACCAACATAAAACAAATCGTGATCCATAAGCTTTACTGTCCGTAACAGCCGATTTCTATGCGTATCGGCTATTTAGTCGATTTTCCCGTCTAGTTGCTCCCGAAGTAGCACATTTGGAATTGTCTAGGCAAAGATCGGCATGTTCCACCTTAAATTTCTGATAAACTTTCTCTCCTTATTAATTGCAGGGTCAAATTGATTGACATGTCTCAGGAGGAATTCGTAGGATCGGTTACTCCTGCGTTGAAGCCAAGCGGATCTCTAGCTCCAAGCAGATCCTTCCGGCTTGCCGTATGTCGACGCATTTTCATGCCGACACACGTTTTGGCACTCCCGGTGGGACCCCACAATTGTCATGGCGGCTTATAACAACAATGACATCCTTATAGTGCCTTATGAAGACCTACTTGATGGAGATAAAGATGTCATCAGCAAAGCTATAGAAGAATTTCAGACCAAGTGTTTGTTATCCTACACCAAGACACGTGACAATCAAATTGTTCAGAAATATCTACTACCGAGAGTTCTATTGCATGGGCAGACAGATGTAGATGAAGTTGAAGACATGCGTTTCTTCGTAGAAGCTGTAAACAAGTCTGTTCATGATGCCATGTCGAATCATAATGAAGTTTTCTTGAACATATTCCTCAACACCATGAAAGAGGTGTTTCATGGGTTTCTAGTTGATCAGGTTGGGCCGGTTTATTACAACATTCCATATCCATTGACTCAGGGGACTAATCAAGCCAGTACTAGCCATCAAGAAACATCACCAGCTGGTAATGATGATGTTCAGGTGGTTCAGAGCTCATTTGAGCAAGTTCAGGGTGTTAATACTAATCAGATACAGTATAATCCTAGATCGTCAGAATAGCATGTGCAACAGTCGATGGGGCATGTTCGGAATCAAATGGTTAATTTTGGCACATTAGGCCAGATACCGTCGTCGGCTCAAAAAATAGCGCCATCAGTTTAATGGATTCGTAGAGATATAGATCCTAATATCTATAACCAGAGACTTCAAGCAGCAAAACCAACAAAGGACCCAGCAGATAGAGATTCCACAAGGGTATCATTATGGCACATATTACAACACCCTTCACATAATTTCAAATTCGGAGTATCAATGTACTCAAAATTTTAATCCACAGATGGGTCAGCAATCGCAGAGAGATTCAAATTCAAATGCTGATGAGTTGTTGCTTAGAGTGACCGAGATGATGAAGAATCAGTTCGGTTTGAACCCAAAAGGGCAGACCTTCTCGTACAAACGCCCATATCTAGAATGGTATGATTTGGTCGCTGTTCTTGCAAATTATAGGCTTCCAGAATTTGCTAAGTTCACTGGCCAAGATAGCACAAGCACAATAGAACATGTCAGTTGATATCTTACACAGTTGGGTGAAGCATCCATTGAAGAGGCCCATCGAGTTTATTTCTTCTCCTTATCTCTGTCAGGGCCAGCCTTCACTTGGTTTTCATCACTACCAGTTAACTCTATTGCCAATTAGGCTGACCTAGAGAAGAAGTTTCATACATATTTTTACACTGGGACAGGAGAAAAGTAGATTACCGATTTGACGACCATAAGGCAGAGAACAAATGAATCAGGCACCGAGTTTCTTCAGAGATTCCGAGAGACCAGAAATTTGTGCTTCTCACTGAACTTAACTGATGATCAGCTAGCTGCTTTGGCCGTTCAAGGAATGTTGCCAACATGGAGAGAGAAGCTGCTGGAACAAGAATTTGACAACTTGGGTTAGTTGGCTCAACGAGTGGCAGCACTCAATGGCCAATTCTAGAATATGCGCAGAGATACCCAATTTCAGAAGAATACCACAATGGTTGAAGCATATAATCCATATTCAGTCGATGACGACTATGAGGACAACAAAGAAGAAGAGGTTGCTATGGCTGAATGGAATTAGGGTAAGAAGACAGTAATGGTGCCAAATCCTTGGGGGAGAGGAGTTGAAGTGAGATATGATTTCGACGTCGCAAAATTAGACAAGCTCTTCGATTTCTTGCTTGAGAAGGGACAAATCAAGTTGGCCGATAATCATGTTATGTTGCCCCCTGATCAGTTGAAGAACAAGAAGTTCTGCAAATTTCACAAAGCCACTTCTCATTCTACTAATGAGTGCAGAGTTTTCCGGCAACATATACAGAGAGCTATTCAGCAAGGAAGGCTCAAATTTGATATGCCTCGAAAGATGAAAGTTGATGATAATCCTTTCCCTAGAGATCAGAACATGGTTGATGCTAGGTTACTCAAAGGAAAGACTAAAGTCCTAACATCAACCAGATCAAAAGAAACTGAAACAGTCGATCCCGAGATGCAAATATCGGTTGATGAATATAGAGAAATTAGAAGGCATCATGATCAACAAAAGAGCCGATATGAGCAGGGAGAAACGTCGAAGGATGGGGCGACAAGGCTGCGTGTTACATCTCGAATCTTATTGAACAAATGGCAGTGGTAGAAGGAAAATGATTATCAGCGTTGGTTAGAAGAGCAAGAATACCAGCGTCAACAGGAAAAATAGAGGCATGAAAGAAAGCAAGCTGAATCATATTGGAATTGTCCTTTCTTCATACATTGCTGGAACGAAGGTTTGAAATTGCCTACCAGAAATAATTGTCCAGAATGCAGCGAGCAATATTGGGAGTTTAGGTAATCTCAAGCCAACTTCTGGTCTATCCATGCTCAAGATGAGTATCATCATAATAACATGGATCAGCGCCTAAAAAATAGAAGTGTTCATGATCGGCTAGGAAAGCGAGTTGTTGATCAAAACTGGGCTAATTATGAAGAAGAAAGTAATGAGAAAGAATATGTTTGGCAGGAAGGCCAATGGTGTCTAGGAGGTATGACAAGAAGCTAGAAAAGAAGAGTGCAACGGCTAAGGAACAAAGAACTAGAATAGACTCAAGCATCTGGTATACCTCAAGTGTGGCGTGCTAAGCGAACAATCGATAGAGGGCAACAATCGGCTAATATTCAAATGGCTTTTCTATTGCCATTAGAATTTAGGGCTCCAGTAGATCAAGAAGTTTATTTATATTTTGATGAATCAGAGTATGAGAAAATAGTTACCAAGTTGACAGTTATACAACAGGCTATATTCGATAAGCCAGTCAAGCATCGGCACTTAAAGGCTTTATATGTAAAAGGTTTTGTCGATGGGAAGTCGATGAACAAGATGTTGGTGGATGGAGGTGCTTCTGTCAATCTTTTGCCTTATACCACTTTTCGTAAACTTGGAAGGGACCAGGAGATTTGATTGATACCGACATAATGCTTAAGGATTTTGGGGATAATGCGTCTAAGACCCAGGGGACAATGAATGTTGAACTGACAATCGGGAGTAAGACTCTGCTCACCATATTCTTCGTCATCGATGGAAAAGGTTCATACAGTTTACTCCTCGGTCGTGATTGGATTCATGCAAACTACTGTGTGCCGTCAACCATGCATCAGTGTTTGATTCAATGGCATCGAGATGACGTCGAGCTAGTTCGCTCTGATGAATCTGTGAGTATCGCAATAGCCGATGTAGTATATTGGGAGCTAGAAGACTTCGAGTGTTTTTCTAGCAAGATGTGGGAAGGTGGCTTCATTAAGATCAGTGATGAAAGCCAATAGCCGATCCAAGCAATTGGCTCTGAGAGTTTATTTTGATGGATAATCATGGCTTCGCGTTGGCCGGTGGATTAAGGGAGATAGACATTGGTCCTAGAGATAGGACTAGGCCGACGTGTGTGAACGCTAAGTCCAATCCTGAGTACGAGCCAGAGTTGATGGATTTATTAAATGAAATTTAAAGATTGTTTTACTTAATGAGATGCTTGGCCTAGGTTAATCAATTGTTTAAATTTTGATCTGAAGAGTTCTGATGCAACCTATCAAGAAGCGATCAGTGGAAAGTGATTGAAGGAGTATTAT